AACACAAGCTATTCTATAAATTCATTTTAGCTCAGAAATGTCTTTAAGCAGCCAACCTCAGCCTCATGCTTCTTATATATCCTAGATTATAACCTTCTCATACCCATGAAATAATTGCTAGGATGAAGGGAGATGTAAGCGGACCAGGCTTTATCTAAAGATTATTTTAGAAATAGAAAAATTTGAGGTAGGAAGGAAATCTGGATTAAGGTGCTGCTTTATCCAGGTGGATAAAATTTTACCATCCTGCAGGTGAAAATAGCTAATAGGTTCACTAAAGGCGATCTATATGTAGACATCAGACAGTGATGCTAGGAGTCTGGGAGGGCTCTTAAATTTGTCAAAGCGCCAAGGAGTGTAATTTAGCAATAGCTCACTTTTTGTTGGAAAGCAAGAGGGGAAAAAAACCAAGTATGTTTTACACAATTATGTAAGTTGCTTGTAACTGAATGATTTGAAATGCATACATATTTTTACCATTCTAATAGGCCATACATAAACCTGATAATCTCAGGGAGGAAGGCTGTGTGATGTGAAACATTACTAAAACCACAATACATTTCAAAATAAGAAAGAAAAGGATAACTCAGTGAAAAATAAGATTTTCTTTAATACTCAAGTGATCATCAAAATTCTGTAAACATTTCTGCTTAACTGGTTTCTACCAATTATTTCTTAAAATTGTAAGTCGAAAACTACATTTAAAACAAAGTTCTAAGGACAAATACATCTGAGTTAGAAGTTTCCAGGGTTTGAGGATTGTGTTGAAATATATCTTCCAATTTGCCAAACATTTACTTCCATGAAAGAAACTTTTTTTTTCTCTTTATTTTTCTCTATTATTTTCTGGATAAACATTTAAACTGAACAGCGGGGGACAGAGAATTAATTGATACAGAACATTTCTGTCCCCAGCAATCTAAAACTCATAGGGTTTTCAGTACATGTAACATAGATATTTGTGCGGGTAAGATTATCATTCCTGCTGTCAAGCAAAACCAAGCATTTAATAGTGAGTGCCATCTTATGTGCATGAATCATACAAGTGGCAAGAAAATAGGGGCAGTCAGGCATAACACAGGTTATGTAGACAGTAAACACAGGGTCAATCAAAATGGACACAAATGTCTATACACCAATGCACAGAGTATGAGGAATAAACAGGNTTTTTTCTTACTGTGTTCTTCTGTTCTGTGATCCGTACATCGCATTGTGTTCTGCGATGCATGTAAAATCAGCAAAATTCTCCACAAACACAATATCAAGACAGCCTTCAACACTAACCAAAAAATAGCCAACGTCTTAAGAAACCCCAAAGGCAAAATCCAGCTAGAACACCAAGAAGTCTACGAAATACCATGCAAAATCTGCCCTGCAACATACATAGGACAAGCGAACAGGAAAATAAATGCACGCATCACAGAACACAAGAACACACACTCACATACATACACACATACAATTATCCTTTTATTGTCTTGCTTTTTTTCCTGTTTGTTTCTTCCGTTTTGAAATCTTTTGCTTTATTTGTGTGCACAGATTTGGTTCTGTCTTCTCTTTCTGTTAAAGCTGTACGGTAAAAATCAGCATCCTCTCTTTTCTTATGTCTAGAAATACAAGCTGAAATATATCAAATTTCAGGGCTCAGCCTGGTTCCATGGAACACTGATGAATGTCTTTAAAAGAAGTCCAAACAGAAATAGATACATAAATACAACACATCCTCTGCTTGGGAATTTTTTGCTGATAGCAGCACATCAAAGTTATTAATGGTTTGGTTACAACAGAACATGGGAAGTTTGCTTTAAGGTTGGCACTGCTCAAAGCCTGAGAAAGATCCCTGATTGGATAGAGACTAAAAGACTATCTTCTCCAAGCAGCAGCTGAGCACCAGCGTGACTCACAGCACATCACATGAAAAGTGTGGTTGTTTTTCCAACTTTCCTCTCATCAGCTTGCTCATAAAACTGACAATGGCCTTTCCCCCTTCTATTTTTCAGTTTCCCAAAGTCTTGCTCAGCACAGGCAGAATGCGCCACCTACTGGCCTCTTCCAGGATACGATATCTAATCTTTGCCTTTTCCTACCAAAGAAAATCTTTTTTACAGGGAAAACTGCCTGTACTGCCTTACGATCACAACGGAGACCAAAATTTTTGTTGCTAAGCGAGGCATTGGTCAAGCCAGTTTTCCCACTTTTACAACCTTCCTTGCCGCATTTTGAAGTGAATCAGTGCAAATTGTTAAGTTAGTAACAGGATTTCAACTGAATCTGACTTCCCCATTAGCTTTGCTTATCAGAAGGGGACAAGCAAACATGACCCTGGGACATGGCGACCGTCATAAATGTGAACTAGTTGTCAAGCATCTCAATTTTGATCACATGACCATCACGATGCTGCAGTGGTTGTAAGTGTGAAAAATGGTCATAAGTCACTATTTTTCAGTGACGTTTTTAACTTTGAATGGTCACTAAGTGAACTGTTGTCAATTGAGGATTGTCTGTTCTTTTCGGCCATGTTTACCAGCATGTACGGCCTACACTTATGCAATTCGTGCAGGGGATGGTTTTGCACACATGCGCTGCTTTCACAAATGCTGCTTCGTGTGCACACCTATACACACGGAATCACACAATTCTGTGGTCTGGTTCTAAATGGCCTGCAGCCCAGTTGGAGATGCAGGCCATTTGGGGACCTCTGTTCTAAAATGTAGATATTAATATGGATCACTCTGTGAGAAAACAGCATAGGCTGTACAAAGTTTTAGTTTACTTTATTGATTAGCGCCGATGGGCCATATCAAAGTGCAGAGTTCCAGACACAAATTATTACTCAAATCTGATAAACACAATTTAAAATGAAATTGGAATAAAATACACTTTAAAATGACATTGGAATAAAATACAACAATGTAATATATAGATCAATAAAATATGATAAAATTATATTTCAGT